CCCCCCCCCCCCGCCCCGCGTTTCCCTCTGCACAAATCAGCACTGGAAAATTCCATAGCGCTCCTATGGAAAACACAGCGTAATTAACTCATTTTGATACGAAGCCGTTTTAAGACGAGACCTTTGTGTTGAACATATTTTACTGTTCCACTCCTCTTCGACTGTCCTATATTAATCAAAGCTGTAACCCCTGTTGTCTTTGCACTACGAATCAGAATGTGCCCCTGGCGAAGAATGAGGGAAAAGTCAACAGGAATTAAGTTTCAGTGCAACTGTTTACTCAACTGTGGCCTGCAGTTATTGAAATTTTATCCGTGGTTTTGTGTGACTACTGCAGTAATGAATTCAGCATGGCTGTGATTTTCTCACTGATGGTATTCTCACTTCAAGTAAAAACCTGTAGGATGAAAATGACTGAAACAACCAAAGTCTACACATTTAGTATCATCCATTTTCCTGACTTGTTTAATTATGGCAGCTTTCTGTCTTAGGTTGGCAAATGGGGTCCCTTGCTCCTCCACCAGCCTTCAGTTTGCTTTGGGTTTTGAGTACAGGTTTTTTCTTCTCCACAACAACCTGCTAAAAAGATCACTGCACACTTAGGGGAGTCTTAACCAGCTGCCAATCGCTTATTTAAAAGGTTTGAAGAATGCTTATTACATTAGAGAAAGTGAGGGTTAGGCGTAAGCGTATTCACCATGGCTCTGCTGCAGCCTTTGTTCCCAAACACATTAATGGTACATGCCCAGCACTTTGGTGTAAAATTTCCTCAGAGGGTTTCAAAATTTTATCAGGGAGAAGATAAAGACAAAACATATTATGCAGATAATTTACACTGGTGAACTCGGTCACTTCCCAGAAAATACACTAATTAAAATACAAAGGCAAACCGCACAATTTGGTTCCGATTCTTCAGAATTGAGGAGAATACTGACACAGGATGTATTTATTTATTTATCCTGACGTTTTGCCGCAGCAGATACCTCCACAGCTTTTCTCACTAATAGAAAACATTCTGTTGATAGAGGTTGCTAGGTTATATTAAAATTCGTTGCAAAAACAAAAAACTTAACGTTAGTGTATTTTCCACCCAGTGACATATTTTGGAAACCAGTGGTTTGTATACAGCAGTTCACCCAATCGCTGCCACCAGACTCAACACATTCAGGCAACAGAAGCAAGCCCTGATCTTCTGGTATTCTCAGGGAATGATTAAAAAAGAGCCCCGGAAGAAAAGTCCAACATTTCCCTTTACAGTAACGACTGCAATCCCCTACGGACAAAAAAATGTACAGAATGTCATAGACAAAGTCCTAAAAGCATCCTCTGACTGGCAAATACGAAGGGTTTGGGAGGGAGGGGTTAAATGCTTCATGCTTTTTCTGTAAGTAGGAACTTGTAATATGTCTTACAGTACCTGCTGTTGCTGAAGATGTGCTAAATCTGCAGCCCCAATTTCAACTGAAGGTGTCTCGCCGTTTGATCTCACTTCCCGCAGGCTGCACTCTAGTAAATGGTTGCCACCGCTCGCTCCATTCTGAATGGCTGAACCGTTACTTTTTGTCTCAGTCCCAGATTCTTGCATCATGACTCAAAAACCTGAAATAATTTAGGGGAGGGGAAAAAAAAAAAAGCAGCTGTTAAAACAGTTGCTGTATATAAGGAGACATGCCCTGTTTTAAATCCTGCCAAAACTGTAAACATTTGTCATTTCCCTTCATACGATTTATCTTTCATTAATGGTTCATGCTACTAGTTTATGTTTATTTATCTGTTGGTACAGCTATAATTTTAGTAAGTTAGTTCTGTTCTAAATACAGTATTATTTGCTCAACATCTTTTTTCCCTTAGAGAAAAAAAAAATATTTTTGAACCAACACACAGAATCTATAATTAAATTTCTCTAGTTACATCTGGATGCTTTCCTTTGAAATGGATGAGTCATTCTTTGCAACGTATGACGGACAATATAAAAAACTTGATATACAGTATGTAGGGGCAGGTAGGTGAAGCAAAGCATTCACTATTTCAGTTACCATTCACACCATGATATTGCCAAATTAGCACCTTTTATTACTTTGAAGCAATTTAGGCTGAGTCTGGGGTGTGCTGGACACCATCAGTTTTCATTTGGGGCAAACTGCTTCAGCTGCTCGCAGAATTAGTCTTTTTGGCCCATGTCTTGGCTATAGATTTGATCTGACTTTGGATGCACCACGGCATCTCGGTGAAGACCCTCCCGCACTATTTGGCTAAACATCATCTCAGTAGCCTCAGCTACTCACACAGCCAGCCCACATGGCTTTTGACCTGTGGTGGGTGTCTATCCCTGCGTGCGGGTGGTGGGACCCACCACAAGGACGAGTGCCCAACTGCTTCCCCTGATGCCCCTGGGATCCACACGCGCCTTTGGGAACTAACCGGCAGCGCTTGTGCACAACAAGACCTTCCCAAAAGAAGCACCTATGTCAGTTTTCAGCTGCAAACCACAACCTTTGAGATCTTTAGATGAGTTGTTTTACATATATTTCCAACTACTGGGTCCCAAGTTACAGGATTTAAATGTTATTAACCTGCCCTGCTTCCACCAGCACATCTCTCCCTCCCTCATGCTCCTCCTCTCACCCCAGGACAATGGGTACGGTAAGCCAGGCTGCACGCTCTGAACACACTGCCTACCCCACGCTAACTCACCACATGCACGTGTGAGCCAAATGCCTCTGTCCAGGGCAGCTCACCGTGGAAGTAAAATGCTTTATATTTAAGGAAGAACCTGTTTGAATTCAGTAACTATCCCAAATCAAAAGCAAGAAAAATTCCTTCCCTTCCAACACAGAAGGGAAAATATAAATCATTTCAATGGAAAAATACCAGGGGAAAACCCTTTCCCTGGGAACTGCACACGTGCATAATTCGGAGCCCCTGGCCGCTGAAGGCGTGTGACCGGCTGGAGACAGTGTCTCCCCCCTCCAGCACTGGCTGCCCTGCCCCGGGTGACATTCAGCATCACACTCCGCTCCAGCAGTACCAGACCTCTCATCCCTTTGGTAGCATCAGACGTTCATGATGATGATCCATCCAGTTGATAACCAAAATGTTGTAACTGCAAAGCAGCTGACTAACGAGGGTTTTGCCACCACCATGCTCCAGCGCTAGCACTCCTCGCCGATTCACGTCCGAGGCAGGTGAACCACTCGTTAGCCAGACCCTGCTCCAACCACGATGAGATCTATTCACCCCGACAGCCACCCAAGCACATGGACAGTGCTCGGGCAGATTCAAATGTTCTGATTACATTTAAATAAATTTCAGCTGGTCCATGGAAACTTCTTTCAATGTGTTTTGTGAAATCTTCAAATTATGCAAGGGGACAAAAGGGCTTGAGGGCTCATTTTAAAGCTTCTGTCAACTCCTTTGTAAAAGCTCCAGAGATCTAAACCAACCTACAGCCTTCCCAACACCACTTGCAAATACTTTTGGGTTTTAGCATGATCCTGCTCTGACACAGATGAAGCATGGCATGTTTTTCATTTCTGACACTATAAGGAAAGCCCACAAGCACGATAAGGTCTAAAGAAGTGTTTACACCTCACAAGAAAGGCTGGATTACACACCGGGCAGCAACTGCACAACACAGGTTGCTTCAGACAAAGAGACACAACTGAGATCCTCCAGACAGCTCACAAGTTACTCACAGGTCTACCACGCAATTTTTATATGCTGCCCCACTAAAAAGGGCACACCTCTTTTAATAAGAGTAAAATCAAAAATGAAGAACTGATGCTGGTTTTTTTTTTTTTCTGCTTCCATCCAAATTTGGGGTCAAGCCTCAACGGGAAAAAATAAAGCATTCCATTAATTCACCTCAGCAGAAGATTTAGACAAAGATGACCACCACGTAAGATGGGGTTAGCAGGTTAAACCCAGAGACTCGTGTCTTTGACTGTTACGATGCAGGATGGCAAATGGTGGGTGGCACGTCACCACCATGGAGACCACCGCCAACGGAAGAAGGACATACTAAAGAACTGGTAGAAAGTGCCTCCAGCAGACACCACGGTGGAAAGAGATGCTAAAACCAATGTGCCAAAACAGTAAAGAAGTACATTTCATTCTCCAGCACTTCTGATGCAACAAATTGACTGGAAGTGAGAACCTGGATAAACAAATAAGGAGGCTCAGAGAAAGCACCGACCAAAGCTCTGAGATGCTTCTGACAGCAGCAAGAGGAATGTGCACCACTGAGGAGCAGACCTATCACTGCCTGATCACAATTTGTTGGCTTGCCCTTCTGAGCGAAATATCTACAGGACACACAAAATAATTCACAACCAAACGGGTCAAGAAATTATTTATTGTCTCTAGGATTACAAAATGCTCCTGGAAAGAAAAAACAGTAGAAATTGCTACAATATTTCCAACCTATAGGACTGAGAAGATGGGTTATTTATAGTATTTGGTCACAAAAAGATCACAGAGTTCTTGAGAACTTTTTCCATGACAAATTTCCTGCTCCGTTTTACCTCTGAAAGTCCTCCAGCCAGTAACCCCCTGAGCTGCACAGGCTGGCCCCAGCCCCTCCACTGCCAGTGCCCACCTCACATACTCTATCCCGCAGAATCAGCCGCGGCTATCAAGGAAAGGGAGCTAGGAACAGAGTTCCCAAAGAGAACATAAGAAGAGTAAAAAGAAAATTGTGATGGTTGGATTTTCAAAAAATTATTTTAAAAGCATAAGTGGACACCCATGAGCAAATTTTGCTTTAAAAACACCCATTTATAGGCAGCCAACTTCAATATAAATTCAACTGGACACCAATACAAAACAAATCCACTTTGCCAAAATACCTCCAATAGAAAACCGAGCTTTCAAGGGAGAAAAGATAAAACTGTTTATTTCTTCACTGTAGTCAAATGTGAGTTGCCATAAATAATCATGGTTTGGTTTGATTGTTAAGCATTATGTCATGAAAATCAACCTGTGAGAGCTTTCTGCAAGAATGATTGTCTTTTTGAGCACACCTAAATGAGCCGAGGTGATAGTACACTGAGGATGGCTGAGATAATTGTCTCTCCTCAGCACAGAGGAGCGGGCCTTACAGCAGTCTATTAGTGAATTCTGTTATTCAAAAATGTGAAAGAAAAAAGCAAAACAAGGCTGACTTTATGCAACATGATTAGGTTCTGCAGGAACTGAACTGAAGCTTCAGGTCTAGTACTACCACCTGTGATTCTGGGCTGAACACAACTCTAAGTAACCAGAATAGTGCGGAAGAAGCTGTTACGCAAAATGATTTATCATAGGAAATCCGGTACTCCACAAACGCTTCCACGATGTGCAAGATACCATGTTCTGACTTAAAGAAATTTAATGGCGAAAGAGCACATCCATCTCTTGCATTCTACAAAGCAGATTCTTGTACCAACTCTGCAAAGGAAAATGTATTTTTATATGTTATAATAGATGGGTTCTTACCAGTATCTTTTTTTTTTGTAAAAATTCTTTGTTATTTCACATTAGAGGGGATACAGAATGACTCTTAAGATTACTGAAGGTGACACAAGATGTTTTTCCCATATGAAAAGGCCAAAGCTAACCCGCAGTATGAACAACAACTTGTAAAATTTTATCCTGAAACCAAGAAGCACATAATAGAACTGTTCTTATACAGCTTTATGTCAGCTTGGTTTAAAAAAAATCTCACAACAATGATCAGTTTCTCAAGATTACCATCTTAACCTGCACAAAACCGTTCCTAGTTTTGATGCAGTGCCAAATACAAAGCCAAAGCCATACAGTTTGGCGCATCTCATGGTTAATATGTTACGTCCAAGGTAATGGGGTAAAATTTCAGTGGAGTCAAATCAAAGCAATGCATTCTGTCAACAAGAGGACAACAGCTAATCATCTTCCAGATGACTCAAACAGAAGTAGGGGACAGCTGATTTCTTAAGGGCATGGTCAAAATTTTAAAAAACCCCATAGGTTGGATGTGAATTTGGCTGAATCAAAATGAGCTTTCTGAGGACTCCAGTGTCGGTGTTGTGAACTAAAAAGACAGAACCTGAAGGAATCCTAATTTTGAAAATGTTCTGTGCTAATTCATTAAAAAAAAAAAAAAAAAAAAAAAAAGAAAAAAGAAAAAAGTCCGTAACATCACAAAGACCAGATCGTGCAAATACACATCTCTCAGCTCCACTGGACTATTTAGACGAGCAAGGTTAAGCACGGAGATTAGTAGGCAGGAGGTGGGCACTGAAGTGTGCAATTTCTGCAATTCCTCTACTAGTACAGTTTCTAAAGACTAAGCAGCATTGTTTAATGTCAGCATGAGGGAGGATTTACTGACTGAAGTACCCGTCACAATAAGGACCCACTGCAAGTCTGAAAGACTAAGGGACTGATATTCAGATGTATTTAGATGCCTCACCATACACAGAGGCATTTGGCAAGGCATTTTTAAGATTCCTGAATAAGCACCGATCTTCATCTTTCAGCATCTCATCACCTTAAAAAAAAAACAACTATCCCTGAGCTCTTCTGGGCCTTAAAATCTTTGTTTTAACGTGCTTCCACACCCAACCTGGA